GTTTTGCTTGGTTTTAATTATCCAAGTTTATAATTCACTAAAACTTTCTTGTCTTATGTTCACTTAGTTAAAGTGTTAATAAATATATTATTTATATCATTATAAATATAATAAATTATAATTACGTTATAAATATAATAAAGTACAGTTAAAGTCAGAATAATTAGCCCTCCATTTTAAATTTTTACAGTATGTCTGATAATATTTTTTCTTCTGGAGAATGTTTTATTTGTTTTATTTCAGCAAGAATAAAAGAAGTTTTTCAATTTTTAAAAATTCATTTTAGGGTCAAAATCATTAGCTCCTTTAAGCTATATTTTCTTTCAATAGTCGACAGAACAAACCATCCTTTTTTAACCCAATTAACCTAGTTAAGCCTTTAAATGTCACTGAGCTGTATAGAAAATATCTAGCAAAATATTATTTACTGTCATTATGGCAAAGATCAAATAAATCAGTTATTAGAAATGAGTTATTAAAACTATTATGTTTAGAAATGTGTTGAAGAAACCTTCTCTCTGTTAAACAGATATTGGGGGAAAAATAAACAGGGGGGCTAATAATTCTGACTTCAACTGTATATAATATACATATTATAATATTAAAAAAAAAAAAAAAAAATATATATATATATATATATATATATATATATATATATATATATATATATATATATATATATATATATATATATATATATATGTATGTATTCTGTTGTTATTTTGCTTGGTTTTAATTATCTGAGTTTATAATTCACTATAACTTTCTTATTTATGTTCATTTAGTTAGTTAAAATTTTCTTTTTATTATGAATATAATATACATTTCTTTATTAATATATTTTGAAGCCTCCAAAATACACATTTTAATACTAAATTTAATTTCAAAGTATTATTTGCCAAAATCCTTCAAAAGCCAGATTTTGCCCACTTGTCAGTAAGATGTTTGAATGTAAAATACAGTCAAATATAGTATGATCACTTCTTTTAAATTCAAGTCAGATCAAGTATATGTCAAGCTGACTGACAGTAAAGCATTATTTCCTTGTATTTCCCTTAAAAATGTATCTTCTAAAAATGTATTTGAACATTAAAGTGTATATATGTATAAAAAAAACATAAGTTTCATTGTTTACTTGAGCGGTTTCCACAGATGTCTACTTTTCTGTCTGGGGAAATAGAAGAATAAGATTAATGAACGTGTATTTCATGACTAATGAGAGCGCATGATGAAATGTTCTTCGCTGATCATTATAAATCTATTAGTTTTATTGCTTCTCAAACCACAGCACACTGACTGCACTCTTCATGAATAAACAAATGAATACACACACTCAGAGGACAGAAAACTGAACCCCACTGTCAGTACACAATTATCCTGAATTCCTTTGTTTTCTTCCAATATTTTTCTAATGCATTTCATTCTGCACCAGTTTAAAGATGGCCACATATCAATCAACAGATATTAGCTTAGACATCTGATGTAATTATACTGAAACTGTGTTTGATTGTGTCTCGTTGTGTGCAGCCCAATGCGTTGGCACCGAGATGTCCGGTCACAGATATCAGTCAGAATTGTCTTTCTCTGTTCTGTTTCTGGTGTTGCCTGCAGCGATAGTCTGTGATAGATAAGATATTATCATGAAAGAATCTGTTGCGATTGCGAATGACTGTTTTAAAGGGAGCCATGCGAATTACATCACCCTCTCTTTTCACATAACAGATAACTGTGATGTTTTATGTGTGCGCTATGCAATGGTTTCACGCTTGAGACAATTTTACTGAGTGTGTAATGGAATATAATGTGGTGTGCGCATGTGAGTTAGTGTATGGCTAGTTGACAAATAGGTCAAATAGACTAATTTTTTTTTTTTTTTGTTAAATTTTTATTTTTTTTAGGAAATAAATTGTTCTATTTATGTGGCTTAAAGTCGAAGTTGAGGTTTCAGAAAATAATCATAACTAACTTTAGCAATTCGTTTATTGTTTTGTTTTACAAATGTCTATCTATGATAGATGTTTGGACATTTTCAGTAAATTGGGATGTCACACTAATGGACAACAAAACTTAACAATTTTATAGTGGCTGTAAAAAGTTAAATATATAAATTAATCTGACACAAAAACGTAACAGTTACACGTTAAGGGTTTCACAGGGGGTCTTCAGTCTAGGCATGGGACAATAACCGTTTTCAAGGTTTAAGACGGTTTGGAAAAGTCAAGGTTTTAAAACCGCCCAAATGTTCTTCTACCATTCAAACGTTATTTGTAAGATTTTTAATTAATTTATTTATTTTTTTGTTGTTTTTTAGGACAACAGTATCTCCAGCAGAAAAGATCTCCAAATATGCCATTTTAAATTGGAAAAAATCTGTGTTTTTGAAACTAATGAAGAGAAATGAAGTCAATTATTAATTGGAATTATTTAGCCTGAAATGTTTAGTGCTCCAAAATACTTTAAAGGTTTTTAAAAATAAATATATTATAAAGGGGAAAAAGTTTTAGTTTTTTATCCAGACATTTAAAAAGAATATATTTGAGAGCAGTTATCACAAAACTGTGAAACCTTGATATTTTTATTCAAGGTTATCATACCATCAGAATCAGCCCATGCCTACTTCAGTCACATCATCTTGAATAAGGTCCTTCAACTACATTTTCAGTGGAATTGGCGATTTAAAATTAGCATATAATTTACACAAGAACACATGGTTTTCAGAAATATGTGGATGAAAATGTTTGCTTTTTACTAAAATAGCCACTTGTAAAATTAGACCTGAAACACTTTTTTTTTCAATAACTAACAAGTGCTTACCCATACTTTTTCTAAACTCTTAACACAGACTCACACCTACAAAACACAACTGGAAAAATGGATCATTTAAAAAAAATAATACACTTTGTTAAATATACAGCTGAAGTCAGATTTTTTTCATTTATTTTTTATTTTTTAAATATTTCGCAAATTATATATATAATAATAATAATAATAATAATAATAGTAATTTTTTTTCTTCTGGTGAAAGACTTATTTGTTTTATTTTAGCTAGACTAAGCGTTTTAATTTTTCAATAAGGTCAATATTATTAGCCCCTTTAGGCTATATATTTTTTTCAATAGTCTACAGAGCAAACCATCGTTATACAATAACTTGCCTAATTACCCTAACCTGCATAGTTAACCTAATTAATCTAGTTAAGCCTTAAAATGTGACTTTAAGCTGTATAGAAGTGTTTTGAAAATATCTAGTAAAATATTATGTACTGTCATCATGGCAAAGATCAAATAAATCAGTTATTACAGATTAGTTAAAATTTAAATGAATTAAAATAAAAACTTACATTAAGAAATGTGTTGAAAAAATATCTTTGTTTAACAGAAATTGCGAAAAAAAAATAAACAGGGTGGCTAGTAATTCTGACTTCAACTGCATGCTAAGTTCATTTTAAAATAGAGCACATCTTGCTTTGCACACACTAACTTTAGCAAGACACTGGAAATCTGACTCAAAATTAAATGATTCTGTCAAAGAAAAACACTTGTTTTCATTTCACAAGGTGCATGCAGTCAATCAAAGTACATCAGGTTAGATTTTTTTGTTGTTGTTGTTGGGAAGTATAGCTTACAAAAATGTAAGCATTGTTGAAATCACAGGAAAGGATTGTGTTCACTGACTGCATATTAGGTGAAAATGACATGAAATGTGTGAATGGTATGGCCACAAAAGACTGATGCTGTGCTAATTCTGTTTAGAGTTTTGAAAACTGGTTGGACAAACGCTTGTTAGTGACTGAAAAAAACTGCAAAAATATTTCATGATATCTTATGATTTATAAGAGTTACAACATTTTGAACTTTGCTTGAGACATTCACACCATAGGACAGCTTTAGCTTTCGTTTGATTTAAAACAAAAGGCCTATGGAAGACAAAGAAATGTTTAACCATTTACTGTCTTTCAAATGATTACAATAATAAAATTTTTTCCATGTATGACAATGAAAATGCAACATCACATCAACAGCCTATGTACGTTTTATTAAGTGTATTATTTCTGAGTGCGTGTCTGTACAAACGAGCATGTGTGATTCTTCTGTAACTTGAGCTCTGACGACTGTCCTGTTTCTTTAGCACCTGTCATTCATTTCTGACCCCGCCATACCGGCCGTGAACTCCTCAAATGGTTTTTGTGCGTCTGCACACATAACGATACAAGTTGACACTGAACAAATCTCAGCATAGCCACAAGAACGGACTAACATCACTCACTCAACGTTTGCACACACAGCCGTGTTTTTGAAAGTCCACCGCTTACCAAAACATCTGGTGGGGTTAAAAATAAACCACCTCCCTTTCAGCACAACCATGTTTTTTAAGGTCTTTGATAATATTGATAGTTTAAACATTACGAAAGCTACTAAAACATTCAATACCTTATTTAGAAATGTCTAGACGACTCGACTACATGCGTGAACCGTCTGAGAATTGAAGTGAAATGAAGTTTCTGTAAAACACGACTCCCAAGAACCTGCACGGATTTTCCAGTCCTCTAAAATGGTATTGTGTCTTAGATTTCGGTCCTAACGAGACTGAAATACAATACAAGCCAATTATGTTCACAAGCTTAAAGGTGCCAAGCAAGCAAAGGACCCTGTCGTTCATTAACCCCACTCTGTTCGTGGTGTGTGTGTGTGCCTCTATGTGTTCATTAGTGGGTGCAGTAAAGCGTGTCTAAGTGGCACAGTGTGTAAGTAAATGGAGCTGAACTGCCTCTCAGCTGTGGATTTAGGTGCGTGTGTGAGAGAGCGCATGTTTTTTTTGTGAGAACAGGGGGAAAAGTAGTTTGCCTTTTAAATTGAGCTGCTTTGTCGGTGTAATTTTATCGTAGAGTTGGGAGCTTCTTTACCGGGTCACATTTTCAACACAAACTACTCTCCCAAAATGAGTTTTAGGATGAAAAGTGTGTATTTCCGACGTGTGTGTGTTTTTCTCTTGTTCTCCAGAAGTGCAGGGACAGATGTCAGCGATTGAACCGCCCCCCCCTCCCTCTGCCCCGCCTCTTCCCCTCCCTATCAAAGGCCTGGGAGTGCCGGAGTACACATCAATCATCCTGAGTGACAGGTAGGAGTGTGTGTGACATTGTGGGAACATGTATAGTGTGTGTTCAAACACAAGAATTCCTCTGTCCAGATAAAGGCACTTTATCTGCTGCTGTCTGCCTGGTCAGACATTATTTACTACTGGCCATCCCCGTACACACTCCCTCCTTTAAAGAGGACAAAATTGCCCTTCTCTATCCCTCATTCTTTTTTTTTTTTTTTAGCCATCCGTATCTCTTTTTCTTGCCTTTCTGTCTGCAGATTAAGCTTTTTAGTCTGTCAAATGGTTTCCCCTCAAAGTACACACTTAAAAATAAAGATGCCATGTAGAACCTAAATGGGGTTTTCACAAGCGATGCCATAAAAATCCTTTTTGGTCTATTATCTTTTTATAAACTTCATAATCTAAAGGACCTTTTGTGGAATAAAAAGGTTTAATGGATGATAAAATGTCTTAGTGGAGCCATTGATGCTAATAGAGAACCTTTATTTCTCGAGAATGTACAGTACAAAATTGCTTTGTTGCTACTTCATTATTTCATTGATTCATTTTCTTTTCAGTTTAGTCCCATTGATTATCAGGGGTCGCCACAACAGAATGAATCGCCAACATATCCAGCATATGTTTTACGCAGTGAATGCCCTTCCAGCCACAACCCAGTACTGGGAAACACCCATACACTCTCACATTCACACACATACACTACGACCAATTTAGTTTATTCAGTTCACCTATACTGCATGTCTTTGGACTGTGAGGGAAACCGGAGCACCCAGAGGAAACCCACGTGAACACAAGGAGAACATGAAAACTCCACACAGAAACGCCAACTGACCCAGCTGGGGCTTGAACCAGCAACCTTCTTGCTGTGAGGCGACAGTGCTAACCTCTGATTAATAATAACATTTGTAATTTTGTGAAGTTTACAAACTTTTTTTTGTCGTACATTTCTCATATCATCTGCTTAAAAAGATCAATCCCAAATGAAAATTCAAAAGATTCATCCCAAAAATGTAAATGTCACCAGTTTTTCTTTTATTTCTGTTTTTAAAAAAGCATTGACGCCCACAGTGTTTGTTTTTCCTACTATGCAAGTCAATGGTTACAGGTTTCTAACATTTTTCAAAATATCATCTTTAGTGTTCAACAGAATTTTTTTTTTTTAAAAGTTTGGAACTACTTGAGATTGATTAATTGGTGTGTAAATGTTTGTTTTTGGGTGATCTAACTGAATAGCAATTTTTGCAACCTAGACTCATTCTGAAAACATAGCGCTATATAAATTTCTGGAGATCGTGAATAATGTTGCCAGAGCTACTTATGGCTGCATTTTGTTTTTAAACTGAATGCTATTGGGAAGTATGACACCATTCCTTTTCTCGCTTACCAGATATGGCTTACTGCCATATTGACGGCTTATCCGCTGTTACCAGTTTTTCCAGTTAACTCGCCATGTACGTCAACAAACTTGAGACGCAGAGAGGAGTTGACCGCTATTACGGGGTGCAAATCTGGTGAAGAACAGTTCCAGACAAAGTAAGACAAAAACAGAAGACAAAAAATAAAATAAACAAGTAAATAATAGGGTGAGAGTGTGGTCAAATCTGAAAACATAATTAAAAATTTGATGATCTTTTTTTGTATTGCTTTTGAAAACACTATTGGTTGCATTTAGGGAAGGAGGAGGGTGGGTCAGTTGATCAGTCAGTCAGTCGATAGCCGCCTCTGGTGGATTTATGTTAGAAGAACAGATGTGGGTGGTACTCACAAAAGAAATGTTAGATCTCAAACAGCGTACACATCGGCCACTGGTGGATTCGCGAAAACAAAAACTGCAAAAAAATGTAGCTCCTGGCACATATATTGCGCTCCCCAGAAATGTAAATAGAGGTACGTTTTCAGAATGAGCCTGGGTTGAATTCTTACACTTTTCCAATATTCTATATATAATTATAGATACTAAATATAATTCCAATTATATATAATTCCAATATAGTTTAAAGTTTTACAAAAATATACAGATTGAAAATTCGAACATACGGTTTCAAAGTCATTTAAAGATATTACCAGTGGTAGTCACTTTGAAGTCTTTAAATAAAGTGCCCGGTGACTGCTGGGAGAGGTTAACAGATTGCTCCAAGCAACTACTGATGTTAACAATCTATTTTAAGTAATGCCAGTTAGCAAAGAAACAATACAAATATGTCATTTCTCAAAGATGTCCCAAAATGCTTTGCTGTCAGTTTTTTCCAGCATTGTAGCTTTCATCTTCCCACTTAAGATATGATAGATTGTGTGCTTGACCTGAAAAGGGCGAATCTAAGGTCATACGGGTATTTATATCCATTCAATCAATGGTAGCGGAAAGTTAAAGGAAAGCAGCCATCTGACTGGTTTCCTTCCCGTGAAGGAGCCATTATGGCAGCCAAATTTCTTTCAGAGGGATTTATTATAATGTATTTGTTGCACAGATGTATTTAACTATGAAGAGTTACATTACACACTTTAAATGTTTTTGGAACAAGTTTCTTATCTCACAAAGTATTCATTTATTTAATCAAGACTAGCAGTAATATTGTGAAATATTATTGCAATTTAAAATTATCGTGTCTGTTTTAATATAGTTTAAAATGTAATTTATTCTTGTGATGGCAAAAGCTGAATTTTTCGCAGTCATTACTCCAGTGTTTAGTTTGACATGAACCTTTGGAAATAATTCCAAAACGCTGAGTTGGTTTTTAAGAAATATTGCTTTTTAAAAATAAATGCTAGTAAAAAAGTTTTATGTGTGTGATTTTTAAAAAATAGTTCATCATATCCAAACCTACTGTTCATTAAACATATTTTGCTAGACTGTAATACTTCTCTGTGAGGAACTTTTTTTTTTCTATTGATACTCTGGCAAAGTGTTTGACCTAACAAATCCAAATCCAAAGGTTTTTATTTAGTTAAATTTTTAATTGAAAAAAATGTAGTTTTTGATACAAAGTATTGGTTACTATTAGGAATGTTGAAAAAAAATGTTTTATGTGTGCGATTTTTATTTTTTTATAGTTCGTCGTATCAAATCCTTAACTGTCCATTTAAACATTTTTACTAGTTTGTATACCTTATTATTCTATTAATACTCTTGAAAAATATTTGACCAAGCAAATCTAAATTTATCTCCAAAGGATTATATTTATTAATATTATTGTTGCTGTTGTTGTTATTATTATTATTATTATTATTATTCTATAAAAATACAAAATATTGCTTTATTATTATAAAAGTTAGAAAAAAGGGTTTCTGTGTGTGATTTTTTTAAAATTATTTATTTATTTTATTTTATTGAAGATACTAAATATTGCTTTATTATTATGAATGTTTAAAAAAGTTTTATGTGCGATTTTTTTTTTTCATTATTATTTTTATTTTTATTATTATTATTATTATTATTATTATTATTATTATTATTATTATTAGTTCATTGTATCAAAACCTTAACTATCCATTAAACATTTTTTACTAGACTGTAATACCTTTTTTATTCTATTGATAGTCTGGGAAATGTTTTTGACCAAGCAAATCTAAATTTACTTCCAAAGTTTTTTATACATTTTTTATTATTATTATTATTTTTATTATTATATTTTTTATTATATTTTTTATAAGGCCTTCATATCAAAACCTTAACTGTCCATTAAACACTTTTTACTAGACTGTTATATCTTTTTATTCTGTTAATACTCTCGGAAAGTGTTTAACCGAGTGAATCCAAAATTACTTCCAGCTTTTTTTTACAGAATCTTTAACATCTCATGTAGTTGTATTATTATTATTAATATTTATTAAGTTTGAAAAGCTGACATGGATTTAAAAACCAAGAAAGAATGAATTCTTATTATAAAATGTCTTCAGCCCTCACTGCACAGCAGTGAAAATTAATGTTTAAAATAAGGTAATGAGTGTCTACATTCTCACAGTGTGGTTTTTATAAATGTAGAGCGAAGCTTGTAATGTACAGTTAATAGTTAATGTAGTCATACTCATGGTTAATGGTTAACATAGACTTATGTTCGTAATGTACAACGGTCAGCTGTCTTGTTAAAACAGCTGACTTTCCTTCACCTCCTCCCTCTTAATGGCGGTTTATCATCTTCTACTCTTTGATTCTGTAATGTAATTATTAAAGCAGAGTAATGAATGTTGGGCGGTGCATGTAGGAGGTAAGATTGAGGTTTGATTTATTACAGTTAGAATATAGTTCTGTTGAGGTCAAACACACAGCGTGACGCCTCAGTGCTCACCAAGGACATAGAGAGGAGGCCAATGAGGAAAGGTGGATCACTGAAATAGGAGGAGGACACCGGAGAAAAGGGAGTGAGAGGTTATGATATGGACCCAGTCGTGACCTGTGGTATCTTACTGAACATCACTGTGACAGCTACAGTTGAATTAATCACCGGCCCTCTCTCGCTCTGTCTCTGTCTGGACAGATGTATTACTGAGGTGGACACTAACTCATGAGAAGGGCTTTGCTTTCGGCCAGCTGAGAAGCTTTAGTTTTGTAGGATGGATTACATAGCATTAAGATGTGGATATGGTGAATCAGACTCTGATCAACAATTGTTGCACTGTTTTGTATGGTAGACAAGATTATGATTAAACAAAAAAAAATGTTGTTGTGCCCTGAGACTTTCGTTCATTTTCAAAAAACAAATTATGGTATTTTCGATGAAATCCGAGAGCTCTCTTTAAAGTCTAGAAAAAGAACCAAAAACATTGTCAAAACATTCCATTTAGTTTCAGTGGTTCAAGTGTAATCATACGAAGCTCCATGAACATTTTTGAGCTCAAAATGTGTGACGTATTGCCATTAGGGTCCGCAGCGCAACCACAATATGTTGTTGCATGTTTTACGCATATTTTTATGCATATCATTGAGTATTTTATCCTTTAAAACATCCCGTATCACTGTATACTCTGGGGTCTGATGTAAAATATTGTGATTTTATAAAAGCAGGAGTTGCGGAATATAA